TGTAGTGCACAGAAAACATGCTCTTTCAGTATCTTGTAACATTGGATTTTATGGTTGTTTTAACCTTCGAAAGTCCACTTGTTTTACTGACTGCACCTCCGTTGTCACAAACCGTTTTGGTGAGTCTCGCTGCACGTTGTTGACGCGGCTGGGTGAACCAGGCACACAACAGACTACAGTGTATACTGAGCATAAACCGCTCGTGTCAATGGCTAGTAAACCGTTATACAGTGTCCCTCTTCGTCTTAAACGTATGCTTATCCTTACGCAGTGGCACTTTGGGCTTATGCACTTTCGGTAATCCGTACAGGCGAGGTGGATGTGATCCACACGGGGTTAGCTTCTCGAACGTGCATCCATCAATATATTCATTGCGTTTTAGCGCCTTCAGTGATTTGATGAGTTTGGTTTCATCGTGTATGGTACTGTCCTTTTTTGTCAGATCAACTTTGAATTTTGTCGTATTCTGAAAAAGGGCATGCATCATCTCCAATTAGTCGGACCTATCAATCAGTACCCAACCCAACCATTTATCCGGCCGTTAGCATAATGTCAGGATTAGATATTAATTCCTTTTCAACTTTCCAATGCTCACTAATGATCATCTTCGAGAATTGTGGCTTGTTGCTCAGGTACTGCTGAGAAAGGTGTACCAAAGTGATTTTCAAAGTGTTTTGGCTAGGGCAGACGTTGCATTAAACTTCGAATTGCGTTTGTAAATGAATCTGCCGGCTGCCTGGTTGTGGTGCACAAAACTTTGGCCCCAGTGTGTGGGCTTCCAATTGTTATTTGTTTACTTGCACACTAGAAAGTTTGTGCACGTATCGTTCTGGGCGCAATGGATATTCCGTTTCGGGAATGTTGAGTTCCAGACTTTAATGCAACATTGTGCATTTCCTCTCTGTTTTCTCACACCTACTTTGTACGTAGGTGTCAAAAGACAAGTTCGTCTGGGCTAAGTTCATCCAAGGATAACTGATAAGGTGAACGGAGTCGTTCTAACTCCGGAAATTTGACTGAATGGATTCCAGAATGTTGCAAGCATGACGCTTTAATGAGGTCGCGGTCGGACGCACATGACTGCGCCTCGGAACCTTCCAGTAAGTTTTGGGAAACTGATGCCGTTGTACACATTCGCGTATGAGTCGAATCTCGGTCTTCGCTTTGGCAAGCTTAGCGTTAAACTTCAAATACTTGTTGAAGTTGGAAATGGTGACGGGACGCTTGCGTTTCTTTAGTTCATTAATTGCTCATTCAGATATTAAAAGCATAACACTTGCGAAGGGCTCTTTTCGGCAATGCACTTCAGGCAAATACAATCACAAGACAGATGAACGTACAGGTAAGCAAATGCTGTGGATGTGGTTGTTTGAACGAAGTCGATCAATAGTCCACTCGATACAGTCAGAGTCATGAGTCGCACGATTGGGCGCGGAGCCGCACACACGCACTAAGCACAGACGCGTCAGCCGGTAGGTCTTCAATCGAGTTCGTTCAAACAATCACATCCCCAGCGTTCGCTTACCTGTACTTTTATCTGTCTTATAATTGTATTTGCCTGAATTGAATTACCGAAATGACTTCTCTTCGCAAGTGTTATACTTCAAACATCATGAAGTTTGTAGCGATTCCCTGTGCAAGTTCATTAATAAACCTCGAAAACAAACGTGGACCTAGAAATGAGCCTTGTGGCACACCACACTCGCCTTGTATGGGGTCCGCTAAAGAACTCCGAACTCTGACCACTAATTGCCATTAAGTTACAATGTTGTCATCTACGTCGGCTTGGGCAACCGAGTAGTATCACGCCCTCTCGCAAAACCATGGACTGTATTACAACTTGCTCATCAGCTGCTGTTTCTGCCGGTTACTTTCACTCTGCTTCATCACACGCCAATTGTTTGTTTGTTAACAGTTCTCACTTTCCGTTACCCGATTCATGTGTTCAACAATCTGGCTGCGATTCCGGTTGCGCTGCAGACCAAGAGGTTCAACCTATGGCTCTTCTTCGTCCCCGATCCTCGTTCCGTCTGGCGTGCTTCAACGTTCGGACAGTCATGCAGATTGGACAGCAAGCCGGTCTAGCGCGCACTCTAGATTCCCTAGACATTGATGTCTACTGCCTTTCAGAAACCCGATTGCAAGATCCCAGCACTGTGCTTACACTGACATCCCCACTGACCACGAAGCCAGATATTACCTGCGTCTTTCTGGAGATCCAGAAGCAGCGTCAGCGGGTTTGGCTGGCGTAGCTATAGCACTGAGTGGCAAGGCCGAGGCGGCATTACTGGACTGGTTCCCGATTAACAGCCGACTATGTGCAGTTCGGCTTCGAGGTTCATGTAGAATCAACAGGCACCGCGAAGAGAGACACAACTTGTTTGTGATCTCCGTGTACGCTCCAACTGACTGCAGTGGCGACTCGGTCAAGGACGAATTCTATCGGGATCTACAACAGCTCTTGACTAATGTTAAAATGTCGGATGTCGTTATCCTTGCTGGGGATTTGAATGCACGGGTTGGCCGCCTGTTAGCATACGAACGCCACCTTGGTGGTCATCACGCGCTCGATGAGAACCGCTCTGATAACGGAGAGAGATTTCTCACATTGTGCGAAGACAAACGTCTGTTTCTTTCGAGCACTAACTTCAGGCGTACAAAGAAGCGTTCCGCAACGTGGCGTCCCTCTTCTTCAACACAACCGTGGTCTCAAATTGATCACATTGCAATTAACTTCAGATGGCGCGGCAGCGTACTAGACTGCAGGTCCTTTTGGTCCACCTTCGTTGACTCAGATCATGCTCTGGTCTGCGCGAAAATCTGTGTGTTTTGGAGGATCCCGAAACACGAAGCACCGCAAGATTGATGTAAACAGATTAACTGATTCCTCTGTCCAGACGAGCTATCAGTCTTCACTGGCATATGCACTCAGTTGCAATCCACCGCAAGAAGTGGAACAACACTGGATTAGTATACAGAAGGCAATGACCATTTCCGGACAGTCATGATGCGGCCTAACTCGACGCCCATTGAAGGCTTGGATCTCTGCTCGTTCTCTGGAGCTGTTCGAACGCCGCAAAGATATCCCCGCTGAATCAGACTGCAACGAGCGGCGCCGTTCTGCCAACCGGCTGCTCAAGCAAAGCCTACGCAAGGATCGTGAGACATGGTGGTCTGAACGTGCTTTAGAAATGGAGACCGCTGCCCTCTCTGGCAACACTCGCAGGCTTTTCCAACTCATTCGGTCCACTGGCCTCGGGAAACCTGGTGTTAGTGAGGTCATTTATGAGGTGGATGAGTCTTTGATCACCAACCAACAGAGGCGTATGGAACGTTGGGTCGAGCACTTTCACTCGCAGTTCAACTGGCCTCCACCGTCCATCCGTACATGCAGTACACGTTGTTGTCCACCCTGGCTCGTCCCTTTGAATCCACCCAGCGAAGCGGAAGTCGACCTTGAGATTCGACGCTTGAAGCGCTTCAAGGCTGCCGGCTTAGACGGACTTCCTCCGGAGTTGTTCAAGTACGGCGGTGTGGCGATCATTAACCAGCTGACCGCGCTGTTCGCAAAAAGTTGGCATGAAGAGAAAGTGTCTTCCTCTTGGGGAGAATCAGTCATTATCCCGATTTTCAAGAAAGGCGCTCGTACTTCATGTGCAAATCATCGCAGGATTAGTCTTATTTCGATTGCCTCTAAGTTATTGGCATCCATTCTGCTTCGCAGACTATCCCCAGTAGGTGAATCATACTACCGTGAAGGACAAGCTGGTTTCCGTCCTGGCCGCGGATGCGTGGATCAAATATTCACGCTCCGCCAGCTCCTCGAACATCGCCACATTTATCACATGCCCACTATCATTGCATTTCTAGACATACGTGCCGCTTTTGACTCCGTTGATCGACCTGCTTTATGGCGTTGCTTACTAAAGAACGGGGTGCCAGAGAAATATACCGCCATCTTACGAGCCCTTTACCTTCACACATCCGGCAGAGTGAGGGTCTAGGGCAAGCTTTCCTCGTAATTCGCTGTCAATAGCGGTGTGCGACAGGGCTGTCCTATGTCCCCATTCCTCTTCAACTTCGCAATCGAAGACGCTCTGTCGAATGCTCTAGAAGGTTTCCAACATTTTGGCTTAGAGCTTCTACCGGGTGAGCGCGCGACCGACTTAGATTATGCTGATGATATCGCCTTACTTGGTGACGATCCTCAGAGTATGCAACTCATTCTGGATCGTTTGGCGGTTGAAGCATCTAAGTATGGCATGAGCTTCGCCCCATCGAAGTGTAAAATACTGCTCAAGGATTGGCTTTCACCTGCTCCCGTACTCACTCTCGAAGGTGCGCAACTTGAACAGGTAGATAGTTTCTTCTACCTTGGGAGCTGTGTTTCTGCTGACGGCACTATCAACAAAGAAATTTCTCTTCGTATCGCTAAAGCTCGATCGGCATTGGTCAATTTGAGGCACCTGTGGCGTCTTCGCGACATCTCATTCACACTAAAGGGCCGCGTTTACAGCGCATCAGTTCGCTCATTATTGTTGTATGGGTGCGAGTCCTGGCCGCTTCGTGTGGAAGACATGCGTCTTCTTTCTGCCTTCGAGAACGATTGCTTAAGGAGGATCGTGCGTGTTTGATGGCAACATTGAGTTAATAGCAATGACGTTCGACGTCGCATCTTGGGGAATGCGAGTCTTCCCTTCAACAAACTGGTTTTGTTGCGCCAGTTGAGATGGCTCGGTCACGTCCTACGCATGGCACCTGAGCGTCTACCGCGTCGCGCTCTATTCGCTCGTCAAGGACCTGGCTGGAGGCGACCGCGTGGTGGTCAGCCTTCCACTTGGCGGCAGCACATGAAATCGCTGACGTCGTGTCTAGCCGCTGTAGGATCCGTACGTCTTCCAGGATGGAGACGCAAAGATGAGGAGTGCCAATGGCTTAGCACTCTTGAAGATATGGCCCGCAACCAGAATCAATGGAAGACTTGTGTACATTATAGTACTGATTCACACGTTTAATTCTACAAACATTAAAATGACAAAAAAGAACAAAAGCGGCGTGTGATAAACAAACTAAAAATGTTTCGTTCTACTTTTTATCAAAATGTTCCATTCTTCCTGCGGCATATTAGTTGAAGTGTGTTGCTCACCTTCAACTAGCATGCCACGTTGATTATGACGCCATGAATCTTGCTTGTCTTCTTATCACCATGGTTTTAGGCTGGCTCTGTGTCTAGCTAATAGACTGTTGAGAATACATACAATGTTGTCAATGCAGCTTAAAAGAGGGTCGCCGATCCCGTAATGCTGTAGCTTGGAGAGTAGTATCCGCTGGTTTAGGCGATCGTAAGCCTTCGAGGAATCCAGGTAAGTCAGGTCAGGTCAGGTCAGGTCAGGTCAGATGGACGATAGAGGCTTCCGCTTAACGAGCGTCCAGTTCTTGTGCCAGTAAGTGAAGCGGCCCCCGGCACTTCGACGTTGGATTGTCTCTTCTTGCTTCTGCAATGGAATGAAGCAAGAACAAGAGCAATCTCTGCACTTTCAAATGTCAGCATCAAAATACACTACATATACCAGTACAACTACAATAGCTCTGGAAAAAGGATGGACCAACAATTGTCTAAGCCCCTTTTGAAGGCTTCTACGGTCTCAGACTCCACTAAATCAGAAGGAAGTTTATTACAGTAGTAAACTACTCGGTTCGTGAAAAATTTTGCCCTGATGTCCAAACGAGCTCTCTGATGTTTGAGCTTCAGGCGATGCCCGCGCAGATGGTCTGAAGTAGCCAACTCAAACAAATGGGTGGAGCTGATACCACTAAGTCCTTTAATGATCTTAAACGTCTCTATCAAATCCTCTCTCAACCTACGCCGTTCCAAGGAAAATAATCCTAAGCTACTTAGACGATCTTCGTAAGACTTCCCTCGTTGACCTACAATCATCCTGGTAGCAAGTTTCTGAATCTTTTCTATACAGATGATGTCACTCCGGAGGTACGGTGACCAGGCCTGAACACAATACTCCAGATGTGACCTGAGCACTGCTTTATATAAGGGCAAGAATACTTCTGCTTTAGTGTTACTCAGCGCCCTCCTAAGACGAAATAACTCATGTCGTGCTTTATTAGCAGCATGGCGACACTGTGCCGAAGGCTTAAAATTGTTCGCTACGATGACACCTAGACCACATCAATGCCTTCTCCAGCGTCAGCTGACTCGGTCCAACTACTGCGTGCGGTTAGCAGTTTTGTTGTACATGACTACAGTCGATAGAAGTCGTGCTGCTCAGCCGTGATGATGTTACAGTTTTCCAGATAATACAACAATGCATCGGCAAGTATGGAATCCATGACCTTGCGGAGTATAGGAAGTAGGGCTACTGGGCGGTAGTTGGAGAGATCAGTTCTGCTTCCACTTTTGTGAAATGGGGTTATTAGTACATGCTTCCACATAGCGGGAACTTGGTTCTGTTATAAGCAGCACTGGAAAAACTGAGCCAAACGTCCTGCCAGTTGGTTTGTTGCTGCTTCCAGTGCCTCTGGACGAATGGTATCGACACCCGATGAGCTGTGTTTGCGTAGCGATGTAGAGGCGGTAAAAGTGTTGTGGGTTAGTCCTTGAGGAGAGACGACAAAGGTTGGACGATCGCTTGGTGGCAAGACCCCCTGAAACGTGGGGCCTATTGCATCCGCAGCGCGTTTGCTGCTTCCACAGCCGTTCTTGTTGAGTCATTGGCCATCCTGAGTGGAGGAAATCATGGCCTCACCTTTCGTAGGCTATTGACGTGTTCGTACAGCAGTTTTTGAATAGCACTGAAGGTTTCTGCGATGTTCTGCTGACATGCAGCTTTGTCTTCTCTTAGCAGTTGAGTGCAGTGGCTACGTTGGGCTAAGTAGTTGCCCCAATTTTCTAGTGCCGGAGCTACTCTGCACGCTCCCCATGCTGCGTTGCGTACTGCCATCCATTTTCGAGTTCTGCTCCTAACGAAAGAAACTGACTTACACTTATCCTAAACTATTATCTATGTGGCTTCTGTAATCAGCTGACTAAATTTGTTGACGATCTCAAGCCAGGCGACTTCCGGGGTTCATTCGGTAAGGAAAAACGGCTGGCTTGCCGAGCAACGTCCTCGTATTGCCTGCTGGGTGGTTCGGGATTATAACGTTCCAGCGAATGGTTTGGCTGCAGTGTTCCAGGACGTGGTAAGTTTTATCCTGGCAAGCGTCCTCCCTATAAAAAGCCACAAATGTCCATTTAACAACACTGAAGTGGCGGATGTGACTCGCCACTAAGTAAAGTCACTACCCTTGCCTCTCTCTGGGCGGCATTGTAATTCAAGCATTGTTGGGCGCCTGGTCCTATGGGGTCCTAAAAGCGTATGAACCACCTGTTGGGTCACCCGTTCCCAACTGGTTGCGATACACTCACATCGCCATGCCGCTTTGTTAGTTAGATCCTGGATCAAAGGCTCGGGGTGAGCCCCCAAAGACAACTCTACTTCGGCCTGGGCAACCGGGTATTAACATACCCACTGACGAACCGTGGATGGATTACACTACTGCTTTTCCTCTTGCTATGTCTACTGGCTTTACTGTCTCTGATGCTCAACATCCGCTCAAAGATCGTCCCACGTCCCGTTCTTCAACTACACCTATGTCTTCCCCGGTCACGGTTAACAACAGCTCACTGGTCGCATCTGAGAGAGTTCTGAGCCAAACGTTTGGCGTTCGTTGCCCGGTGGTCACAACATCTGCACACTCAGCCTAAACCCAAGTTTTCCTTCGTTCTGGTTTTCCATTCGGCCTTACAGCGTTCACTGTGCGCACTCTGATACAGATCAGGCTACAAGCATGTCTGGCACCACGCTTAAGGCATTCTCGGTCGACATCTGTTGCATTTCCGAAACCAGGTTGCAAGACGCCAGTACCGTCATCAGCATGACATCATCGGCAAACGCTGACGTTAAATACCACTTGCACCTTTCCGGAGACCCAGAGGTCGCCACTTCTGGCCAAGCTGGTGTCAAGGTTGCACTGAGTGACAAGTTTGAGGTCGCTTTGCTTGACTGGATACCAGTCAACTGTCGGCTATGTGCAGTCAAACTACGAGGTTCATGTAAGTTAAGTAAGCGTCGAGATGTTACACGTGCCTTGTTTGTCCTCGCCTACGCACCTACAGACTGCAGCCCGGATGCAGTCAAGGATTGCTTTTACCAACGGCTACATGAGCTTCTGCATTCCTCTAAGAAGTCTGACATTGTCATTATTGCTGGAGATTTTAACGCACGAGTCGGCCGTCTGCCATCAAGTGAGCACCATCTTGGGGGTAGTTTTGGCCTTGGTAGCAGCCGATCAGACAATGTAGACAGACTACTGACACTTTGTTTTGATCATCGCTTGTTTATTACGGGTACAGGTCTTCGTCATTCGAAAAGTCAGACTGCCACCTGGCGTCCACCTTCTTAACCATGAGAATGGGCTCAGCTAGTCCACATAGCAATAAGCTACAGACGGTGCGGAAGCATAACAGGCTGCCGATCGTACTGGTCAAATTTTTCTGACTTCGATATCGCGCTGGTTCGCGCCAAAATTTGCATGCCTTTCGGAGGATCATCCAGACGTATGCACTACCGACCGAATGTCGAGAATCTGCAAAATCGTACAACATTAATAAAGTACCAGGTTTCTCTGTCAACACTACTTGTTTCATCCTCTGTTGATGGTCTCAATTCGCAATGGATGCGCATTAATGCCGCTTTAATTTCTGAAGTACTGTCAGTTGTGGATTTGCTTGCTACCCGCCGAAATGCTGGATAATCACTGCCTCCTTATCGTTGATGGACTGACGCCGCTTGATCCCAGCCGACACCTGCGGTAGTGAGGAACGCCGATCCCTGGACGGGGCGTTGCGTAGGAGCTTACAGAAGGACCGTGAGACCTGGTGGTGTGAAAATGCTAGAGAGCTTGAACTAGCTAATCTCTCTGGTGACACCAGCAACCTGTT